CGGAGGTCGGGGTGCAGGGATGGGGACCCCAGCGTGCCCAGCCACCGGTGAGCCTCGGGCACGACCCTGAGCCCCAGCGCAGGGCGGCGCAGGTGTGTGACACCGCCTTGACGTGCCAGGCGTGCTCCCTGGGAGAAGTAGTAGTGACATTACTATGGATAAGCGAGGCTTGGTCATCCAAGGCTCTCTGTGCTTCTGCATTCCCTGATCTGTAAGCCGTACACTTGTGTGTTCCTTTCAGTCTCCAGGAGAGAAGACACACTTGGAACGCTTCGCTCGGGCTTAGTGTCTTCCCCATCACTTCCTAGGCGGCAGCCTAACGCCTCATTTAGAGAGAAGGGGATTACAGCCAGAGAGTGAACTTGCCATTAGCCCTGGCCGCCTGCGGGTCACACAAGCCCTCTCTTGCCCGTCCGGATGCTCGCGCCGGATGCCATTCAGGCTCGCTTTCCCAGTGCCTTACGGCTCCGAGCCTCCCCTCTCCTCCTCACATCACTCTAAAGCACACCGATCCAGAACCCCCGTTTAGCTGTACTCGACCAAAAGTCCGGCCACACTGGACGCCTGTGATTTCGGGTTCCTGCTGATTATTAGAAAACGAATACATAGTACAAGGATTTAGTCCTTCCTCCCTAGGGAGAGCTCCTTAGCTATGCGAAAAAAGAGAAAAGTATCCAAGCTAACAGTGGGCTGTTTGTTCACCCTCTGCAGAGATAAGGGAGGATTGAATTCTGCGCTCACATGTAACTCTTCTCACCCTGCCTCTCCCCTCTCTTTTCCAGATAGGCACTTTGGGACTTATCTGTTGGACTGTGAACCCCCTCCAGGCGCCTTATCAAGCCCTCCCCAGACCCCCAAGCAGACGCAGAAGCGCTCCAGGGCGGCCTTCTCCCACACTCAAGTCATCGAGTTAGAGAGGAAGTTCAGCCACCAGAAGTACCTGTCGGCCCCCGAAAGGGCCCACCTGGCCAAGAACCTCAAGCTCACCGAGACCCAAGTGAAAATATGGTTCCAGAACAGACGCTATAAGACAAAGCGGAAGCAGCTCTCCTCTGACCTGGGAGATCTGGAGAAGCACTCCTCCCTGCCAGGCCTGAAGGACGACGCCCTCTCCCGGGCCTCTCTGGTCTCCGTGTACAACAGCTACCCTTACTACCCCTACCTTTACTGTCTGGGTGGCTGGAGCCCCACTTTCTGGTAATGCAGCTCAGAGGTCAACCTTGTGTGGTGGGAAATTGCCTTCCCCAGGGCGGGAGACTGAGGTCAGGGAGTTCTGGGGAGAGTGAGGTGTACAGATGCCAACTGTTGGAGGTTTGTAAGGCAGACTTCACTGGTGAGCCAATGAAAGACTCAGGCAGTCACTAATTTAATATCTGAACAGTTCCCCCAGGGCATACTGTAAGGCACTGTTGCTTTTGGCACCCTGTTGGAAGGGAAAAGAGAGATGGTCAAGTGCTTGCTACAGCCCTTTGCATAACTTTGGATGAGCTGTACCTGCAGCTCCTTCCTCTTTGGGTAACCACCAGCATTATCTTGGAAAGAGCCAACCTAAAGGGAGAAAAGATGTTGCCTACTGAATTAAACTGAAGTTCAAAGCCCTCTTGTTGGCCTTGGGATATGACCAAGGTCTCTCTGTGTCCCTGTAAAAGTGAGGGCATATGAGGGTTACAAAGAACTCCAGGCATTTGGCATGGGATATGGTCGGGGGGGGGGTAAAAGCATCAGCTGCTCATTCCTTTTCCCAAAGTGTGCTCCTTTACTGGGTGGCCTCAGAAGAACAAGGTGTATTACTGTGGCTTTTAAGACAAGCTGTCTAAACAGGACCAACCGCAAGGAGTGTGGCTCTGCTAAACAACTCTGCTTGTCCAAGACAGAGCCTTAGGAGTGGGGTTCCTCTGCGCTCCTTGCTAGGGCCGTTGCCTTGTTTATTAGCAAAAAGTGGAGAGCCTCTGCTAACCTTTTCTTCCCTGGTGGGAGAATTTACAATGGGAAGTTCCCATCCAGAGTATTCAGGCTAGAATTTGTACTACATTGTGAAAGAGATGGCACGTGGGGGGGTGTTTCTTTCTTTCCTATTTTATTAATTTTTTTACAGAAATCAACAGAAGGACTTCCTTTAAGTCCAGGCTTCCAGCCTGGCTACATCTAACTTTCACCTTTCTTATTTACCCTGAGATTTTGTTTTGTTTTGTTTTGTTTTTTGAGACAGGGTCTCACTATGTAGTTGAGACTGACCTGGAACTCACTATGTAGCCCAGGCTGGTCTCAAACTCACAGTGATCCTCCTGCCTCAGCCTCCAGAGTGCTGGGATTATAGGCATGAGCCACCACGCCTGGCTTTTACCCTGAGATTTGATCTTTTTCGTTTTCCTTCCTCTACCTCCAGCTGATGCTTCATGGGTTAAAAAAAAAAAAAAAGTAGAGGGGCAGATTCTGAATACACCAAAAGGGCATAATTTTAAAAAAAACTAGCAACTTTTAATTCTTTCCCTTAAACATATACAACATTAAACCCCTGTTTAGTGTTCTGCCACCTGCCTCACAAGTGCAAGGTTCCAAGTTCGAACCCTGGTACCAAAAAAAAAAAATCCTTGTTTAAAGACCTGACATCTCCAGAAGGTCACTGCTTTAGCTGGTGGCTCTTTTGCTGCAGTGCAAAGTCCATCAAGTCTTGGGGATGCCTGCAGGTGGAGGAGGTAAGAGGTCTCCAGGTTTTCACATGGAAGGAAGAACATGGCACCCATGAAGGGCGGGCATTGCTGAGCTGTCCAGGGAGAGTGGTGGGCTCCCGGGCTGGGCACGGAAGTAAAGGCAGCCAGGCCACTGAGAAAGCAGAGCGGCCAACACATTTGGTAGGAAGAGACTGAGGGGAAGGAAACTCTGTATAAAGCACTGTTTTACTGTGGCTTCTGTCGCCAGAAAACAAACTGTCTAAATGCTACGGGAGCTGTGTTCAGTCTCCATGGGTGGCTTCTGACAGAATGAGCAGCGAGCAAAGGAGAAATTTGCCTCTCCCCTTCTACTTATTATCTCAGGTGAACTGGTAGCGGCAGAGACAGGAGATGTGGGGGGAGTGACTTTTACTGGAAAGTCTTTTGATTCCACTACTTCATTCTATGCAGTGAGAAACCTCTGAATTTCCTCCTATCAAAAAGGCCAATTCACTATTGGTGGCCGGAGTGAGTTGATGGAAAGCTGGCCGGTTTCACCCTGCTTGCCTCTGGTGTGAGCTCCATGTGGAGATATTGTCCAAGGCCACAGGTGGCGGCCGCCACAGCACTGCGAGATGACCCAAAAGGCGGAGAAGCCCACAAGTTGCTTCTCCTTTTGCTACAGCTTCTAAAGTGAGTGTGTAGAGCTCCCTATTCGGTACTCTTCCCTCTTCCCACCCTCTGACTTGAATTCTTCCAACACGGGCGCTTCTGCAAGGGTGAAACATTGTCTGTAATACATTGTGTTGCAAAGAAAGTTTCTGTTTAAAAGTATTTAGTGTTTGTATTCATCTTGCCCTTTCTCCAACTTGGAGCAAGTCATTCACCCACCCCTGACCTGGGAGAAAAGCATTTGCAGAATTAACCTACTGGTCTTCAACAAGTCACTGGGCCAGTGCTCCAGCCTGCTTTACCTGGGTTTCCCATTTCTCTCCTGTTTAATAAATGAATTTACAGACCCTGATGTGATCTGTAACATAAAAATTTGTGACTTGAAGTTTACTAAAATGTCCCAAACCTTATTTTTCTATGTATTTTTTGCAACATGTGAGCATTTTAATAATAAAGTCTCTATGTGTTTATCAGAGATACCTGTGTGTGATTTTCAGACTCCGAAAGATTGCTTGCTACTTAACTTACATATTTCTGGTTACCGTCTTCTCTTAGCCTCAGCAGCCTGACAAACCTGTAGCCACCAAAGAATCAAAAGCAGCAGCTTGGCTGGCAGCTGATGAACAAAGGCTATCAGGTACTTACCTATGTTTCTAGAAGATTACAAAGAGAATGTGGAGACCACAGCAATTTTTCATTTAAAAAGTCCCCTTTCCGGTCCCATAGGCACCTTGTACCACATCTTTCCTGTTCCTCTCACTCCCGTGTCTCCCCAAAAACTGTTACCTGCCCCCAAAGCCAATAGACCTCTTGCAAGTGACACCTTTGAATTGAATCACAGCATTGGGAATAAAATTTATTATTGTATTAAAATATCTACACACCACATCCTTCATCTCCCCGTGCTTAAGCCTTCATTAAATCCCACAAGCAGTGTCTCGTGCACCTGATTATCTGGGAGAATTGATGGTTTTCTCTCCACCCCCTCTTAAAAGGAAATAGAAGCTTAAAGAATAAGGTGCTTACTGTAGGTAAAACATATCATAATTTCAAAGTGTGCTGTAATCCCTTAAGTACATTGTACACACAGGTGGGGCTTCTCAGAGCATGCTCACATCGTGAGGTTTAATTCTTTGCACAAGTCTCTAGCTACCTCCCTCCCTGGAAGGCCATTAGCTCTCCAATTACAAAGGCTCTTGCAGTAAATTAACAGATGTGGGTTTTTTGAGTAAGGAGGAGAGGAACCATTTAAAAGTAACTAATCCAGGAAATTAAACCAAAGTCTCTCATCTCTTTAGAAAGCCCCCTCTGCCTCCTCTTTTTTCCCCTTTTCCAACTTTGCCTGACATCTCTGCTAATCTCACACCCATCTTCTCCCAGCAAGCCTCCTCAGAATGTCACATGCTCATGCTATTTAGAACTCTTTTTAAATCTGCTGTTCCAGTTGTTTCCGGTGCAAGTTTCTAGCACCAGAGTTTTGTCACTTCTGCTACTGCTGCTCCTCCCTAGGACTCCCCTAGACTGCCAGAAAGGAAAATAAATGCCGGAGACTCACACACAGAAATGTTTCCCTTTGAACCACCAAGAACATTATTTGTCTCAGGGAATGTTAATATCATGCATCGCTCAGCTGACCTCAGAGGGGACAGGGGCCACGGAGAGAAGTTGTTTGGCTTGGGTATACTGGAAATAGATCCCACGAGGGGGAGTCACTCGCAGAACCTTTCAGGAGGCACACGTGGAAGGAAGCGAGGGAGGCAGCATGAGGGTAGAGCAGAATGAGCCAGAGCAGGGTTCCACTGAGGCCTAAGTCAATGCTTCAGGCAGCTTGCGGTGCGTGTGCTCCATGTGGAAGAAAGTGGGAGATCACCTGGCCACTGCAGTTTCTCTGTGTGAAGGGAGAAGGCCACCGGCCATGAAGGGACACAGCTATACTCGGGTTCCCACCAGCTGCTGGTGTGTATGAGGTGTCAGCCCCCTTCAGGGAGACCCTGGGGAGCACCATGAAATCCACTATAAGACACAGACAGGATCATCTCCCTGCTCACTCTCAGGGCCATGGTCACCACCATTGAGGAAATCTGAGTCCACAGGAGCAGGGCAGGCACAGAGCTCTCCATTCTGACTCAGACATCCAGACTCTGCCCCTCCCATGGCCATCATGAACGTGTCACTCAGACATGTTTTCCAAAGCAGAAAGTTATTTACTGCTCAAGAAAAAGGGCAGGAATGAGAGTCCTGGGACACAAGGAGTCCTAGTTTAGCCATAGACTTGGCTTCCCAGCAAACTTTCCCAGACGAGCAGCCCATGGAAAGGCTAAGTTAGGCTTACCAGGAAAAGCTGAAGAATCCCATTTTCCCAGGTATGTCCTGTCCTCACCTCTGCAAAGCCTCCAGGTGTGGCTTTGACACCTTTCCTGAGCTTGCACTTAGGGTTTAGGGGAGAGATTTAGGGTAGATTCCCTGTGTATCATCTTCTAAGAAGTCTCCACCTCTTTCTAGTTTATTTACAAGGAAAGCCCTTGCTGGGGAGCTGATGAAAGAAAGGGGTGATGCAAGAATAGGTCCCACTTCCTCACAAGAACGACAGTCAGACGCTGGCTAGGGTTTGGGTACAGCTTGTCACCCAGAGGCTCATGTGCTGGAAGCTGTAGCCCCACGGGGTGGTGTCAAGGCGGTTGAACTGCTAAGAGGTGGTCTCTAGCGGGAAGTAATTCACTCATGAGGGTTCTGCCCTCTGGAATGCTCTCTCACAGGGGTAGATCTAGTCTCATGAAAATGGATTCTTTCCCCCAGAATGGGCTATTATAAAAGGGTGAGCCTGGCCCCTCCCTGGTCTCTTACTTCCTGTCTTGCTCTGTGACGTCTCACACATACTCCTGCCACACAAAGTCATCTGCCATGCACCACTCACCAGAAGCCAAGCCTGACACTATATTCTTAGGCCTCCAAAACTGTGAATCAAGATAAATCTTTCCTTTATAAAGTACCTAGCATCGAGTATTTTGTATTATAGCAACACCAAAAAGACTAAGAGAATACTTATAGATAATATTTGTTTAAAACCTAGAAATGCATGATGGTGGTTGGGAGAATAAATTCTGATTTTGCTTTCTTAAAGGTGGAAGTCCAGCAGAATTTAGTTCCCTGTGCCAGTAGTGCCCAAATTCTCGTGCATTCTGAGATGCCCCTTAGTCCAGAACACATTAGCATCTCTTGGAAAACATTAGAAAAAACAGGTGAAAGCCCAACTCCACTAACCATCCATTGTGCCATGATCCATGACTCAAGAGTCGGTATTTTCTTAATGCTGAAGCCCACAGTTACAAGTCACTTGCTTTGCGAGCTCTTCCCAATGTGTTTGCCTCCACCACCTCCCGGCCTCAAGTGCCAGGACAAGAGAGAGAGCTACTAGAAGGTTCCATCCAGGAAAAGAGGTGTGCAGAGTGTCCCCCACTTCTTTGCCTTGCTCTCTCTTTTTACAGAGAGCAAATGTGCATCTTTTCTTATTTTCTTCCCAACCATCCTCCTTTTGGAATTTCTGATATCATCAGAAGCTTTCTGTAATTAGGAAGGCCCAGCTCATTCTAGTAAAGCCCTCACTCAAAGCTGAAGAGACCTACATCATGTGAATGTTTGCAGACCCCGTCATCCTGATGAGTTTATTACCCATCTCCTCCCCAGATCCACCCAGACTGACAGCTCAGTCTGTGTCCCCACAGAGAAGAAAGCCCACAGTTAAACTGCAGGGGTGTTTTCACCTGCTGGAGGCCACAGGACCTGATTGTGCCTTGCTGGGAACCGCAGAAGGTGCCATTTAACGGCTGTCAATTAGGTCATGCTTCCTCGAGAACTCATCTCGGGATTAAATCGCATCTCACCACTGACATAACATTTACACTTCCTTCTGCCAACTTGGTAATAGAAACCCTTCTAAAACTGCATGTGTGCAGAGATGGGTGAGGGAGGAGGCTGTTCAAAGAGGGGAGGAAGCTGCCTTGTGGCAACATGGTTTTGGACTAAACTTTGCATGCAGCAAATGCAGAACTGGCATTAGAATTCGGGCCCAGAGGCAGAAGAGTTTCAATTTGAGCTCAGCACATCTAACAATGGGAGTGATGGAAACATTCTTAATTTAGTGCTTTTATTTTTAAAAAAAAATACAGGGAAGGTTCATTGTAGGAACTTGGGGTGGAGAGGGAATGGCATTCTCTCATACCAGAAAAGTTTCAATTTGAGCTCAGCACATCTAACAATGGGAGTGATGGAAACATTCTTTAATTTAGTGCTTTTATTTTTTAAAAAAAATACAGGGAAGGTTCATTGTAGGAACTTGGGGTGGAGAGGGAATGGCATTCTCTCATGGAGAAGTACCTCGTTCCATGGGTACTTGTTTACATTTAGGTCCGTGATGATTTTTTCCATTTAAGGGGCATCTGAGGTATCAAAGGCTCATAATGGGCAAGCTCTTGTGACTCGCAAGGGCATGGACAGCGAGTGAGCCATGGCAGGAGGTTCTCACTGTGAGTAAAGATCCATGCAAAGCTGCTTAGCTTTAACACAGCTCTGTTGAATGATCTGCATCTCCTTCCTGTGGAAAGCGGTCAACGTAATGGAGATGTCAGCACAACAGTCTTTTGAATTGAATGAGAGAAGCCCGATACTCACAGAAGCTGCAGATTTGCCTTGCCTTCTGAGTGAAACACACAAACCAAGGGGAACTGATGATGCGACCCTGGATAAGGTTGCTGCTCGGTGTACTTCCACTAGTGAAAACCTCTCTGGGTTTCTCATTGTTGTTATCTGTAATATGGGGTGGCCGACCTTCCGTAAGTGTGCAAATCACATTAGGAAATTCTGGTGCCGGCAAAGAAGAAAAAAGAGGAATATTCTGGTGGAAAAGAACTCTGTAAATAGAGAAAAGAAGGGGAACAGGACAAAGGCTGATAGCATGGGCAAAGGGAGGCACATTAAAGAGAGTAGCAGAGATTTTAGAGCAGTCTCCTCACAACAGCATCCAGAACCCAGAAAAGCCCTTTCAGCCTCGATTTCCACTGTGCCTTTCTTCCCTCTGAGTCAGCTGAACTGCATGAGAAGGACCTGGGAGGGAGGCGGGAAGACCGAGACCAAAGGGAGCAGTGGGCAGGGCAGAGTGGGTAGTTTTCCACGAGCTCTGGCAAGGGCTCTATCTATGTGCGAGCTCCTGACTCCCTCCTTGGCTCCTGATTGACCCCTGAGCACAGAGATGGCCCCGTGTCCTGGAGATTAGGTTTTATTGTGGAGACAGACTGGGGGCAAGTCAACTTCAGCTTCAGGAAGGAACAAAAGCTGGACCAGGATCTAAAGGGAGGTGTTCTCGTTACGCCCCAAATAGGTTTTATAAGAGCCTGTGCAGGCACACATCCCAGAGAGGCAGGATGAGCTTGCA